GAATTGTCTGCACTGGCTCAGCACTGCCCCCTAGCAGCTTGTGTAAGAAAGAGAGGTTGTGAGGGGAGTGAGGAGGAAAAAGGGGAACGGGTACAATACATCATCAGTAGCTAATACCCATTCATGATTACTAGATGAAGGCCACGACTCCATCGCAAGTGGCCGTACAGGAAGGAGAGGCAGCAAGGCAAATGAGGGGGGAGGTGGAGTGAGAGAGGCACCCGGCAGAGGTAGGGTAAAAAGACAAGTGTGGGTGGAAGGGGAGAGGGGAAGGGGAGACGCAGGTGGGAACTGGTAACACAAAAAAAGGGTAAGGAGTCTCGGGAGCGGGTAAGGCAGACCGACACAACAAAAGGTAGGGATCGGGAGAAGGCCGTAAGTAAGGGGTAAGGAGTCTCGGGAGCGGGTAAGGCAGACCGACACAACAAAAGGTAGGGATCGGGAGAAGGCCGTAAGTAAGGGGTAAGGAGTCTCGGGAGCGGGTAAGGCAGACCGACACAACAAAAGGTAGGGATCGGGAGAAGGCCGTAACTAAGGGGTAAGGAGTCTTGGTAGAGGGTAAGGAGACCGACACAACAAAAGGTAGGAATCGGGAGAAGGCCGTAAGTAAGGGGTAAGGAGTCTCGGGAGAGGGTAAGGAGACCGACACAACAAGGGTAGGGATCGGGAGAAGGCCGTAAGTAAGGGGTAAGGAGTCTCGGGAGAGGGTAAGGAGACCGACACAACAAGGGTAGGGATCGGGAGAAGGCCGTAAGTAAGGGGTAAGGAGTCTCGGGAGTGGGTAAGGCAGACCGACACAACAAAAGGTAGGGATCGGGAGAAGGCCGTAACTAAGGGGTAAGGAGTCTTGGTAGAGGGTAAGGAGACCGACACAACAAAAGGTAGGGATCGGGAGAAGGTCATAAGTAGGGGGTAAGGAGTCTTGGGAGAGGGTAAGGAGACCGACACAACAAAAGGTAGGGATCGGGAGAAGGCCGTAAGTAAGGGGTAAGGAGTCTCGGGAGAGGGTAAGGAGACCGACACAACAAAAGGTAGGGATCGGGAGAAGGCCGTAAGTAAGGGGTAAGGAGTCTCGGGAGTGGGTAAGGCAGACCGACACAACAAAAGGTAGGGATCGGGAGAAGGCCGTAACTAAGGGGTAAGGAGTCTTGGTAGAGGGTAAGGAGACCGACACAACAAAAGGTAGGAATCGGGAGAAGGCCGTAAGTAAGGGGTAAGGAGTCTCGGGAGAGGGTAAGGAGACCGACACAACAAGGGTAGGGATCGGGAGAAGGCCGTAAGTAAGGGGTAAGGAGTCTCGGGAGAGGGTAAGGAGACCGACACAACTAAAGGTAGGGATCGGGAGAAGGCCGTAAGTAAGGGGTAAGGAGTCTTGGGAGAGGGTAAGGAGACAGACACAACAAAAGGTAGGGATTAGACACAACAAAAGGTAGGGATTGGGAGAAGGCCGTAAGTAAGGGGTAAGGAGTCTCGGGAGTGGGTAAGGCAGACCGACACAACAAAAGGTAGGGATCGGGAGAAGGCCGTAACTAAGGGGTAAGGAGTCTTGGTAGAGGGTAAGGAGACCGACACAACAAAAGGGAGGGATCGGGAGAAGGTCATAAGTAGGGGGTAAGGAGTCTTGGGAGAGGGTAAGGAGACCGACACAACAAAAGGTAGGGATCGGGAGAAGGCCGTAAGTAAGGGGTAAGGAGTCTCGGGAGAGGGTAAGGAGACCGACACAACAAGGGTAGGGATCGGGAGAAGGCTGTAAGTAAGGGGTAAGGAGTCTCGGGAGAGGGTAAGGAGAACGACACAACAAGGGGTAGGGATCGGGAGAAGGCCGTAAGTAAGGGGTAAGGAGTCTCGGGAGAGGGTAAGGAGACCGACACAACAAAAGGTAGGGATCGGGAGAAGGCCGTAAGTAAGGGGTAAGGAGTCTCGGGA